TTTTTTTTTTCTGGTGTTTTGGTGGTGATACTGAGGTTAGACCTCAGTGCCTTATACTTGCCAGGTAGGCGCTCTACCACTTGAGCCACGCCTCCAGCCCTTCTTGCTCTGGTTATTTTGGAGACAGGGTCTTGCTTTTTGCCCAAGACAGCCTGAACGGAGATCTTTTCTTGTGTTCCCCACAAAAGCTGGGATGCCAGGTATGTGCCACCATGCCCAGTTTTTTTTTCTATTGAGATAGGGTCTTGTGAACTTTTTTTGCCTGGACTGGACCAGAACCACTATCCTCTCAATCTCAGTCTTCCAAGGAGCTAAGATTTCAGGTGTGAGCCACCATGCCTGGCACATTTTCCTTGTATCATTTGTGTGTGTGTGTGTGTGTGTGTGTGTGTGTGGTAATGGGGCTTTAACTCAGGGCCTTCACTTTGAGCTACTCCACCAGCCCAAATTTTTGTGATAGGGCTTTTCTTTTCCCTTACTTTAAAATTTTTATTGTTTTTACATTCATTCAGATGTGTATACATTGTTTGCCTCTCCCCTTCCCCACCACGTGATAGGGTCTTTCAAGACAGGGTCTTGCGAACTATTTGCCTGGGTTGGCTTTGAACTGTGATCCTCCTGATCTCTGCCTCTTAAGTAGCTAGGATTACAGGTGTGAGCCACCAGCACCCGGCAATTTTCCTTGTATCTTGAGGCCAGGGATCACCACAATACAATCTGCCACCAAGCTGAGACCATAGTAGAGACAAGAAACTTAGCTGGCTCTAGTCACACACCCTTTACTCAGAGATCTAGATTGTGTCAGGGCCTCAAGAATGCGTGTCTTCTTCACTCTTTTCCCTTTTGTCAGCTTGAAGCTTATGTTGAAAAAGGAGGAGTCACCCATTAGAGGAGTCTAGGTACCCCAATCAACACTGGAGAGTTGATCAGACCAGGAATACCTGGTTGAGATTTTATGTATAAAAATCTGGGCAGTCTCAATCAGTGGGGCGAGGCTCTCAAGAGGTGGGAGTAGGGTGAGGAGCAGAAAACCCTGACAGGACAGCAGGCTCAGCTGAAGATTACTGAAAGTTTGAAAACTGCTGCTCCATCTCCTCTCCCCTACCCTGTCAAATAGCACCGCTGTAGGCCCACTGAGCTAGAATCTCAAGGAGAGGCAACTGGGAATCTGCACTTTTAACAAGTGTCCCAGGAACTGTTACCAGCAAAGTTTGGAATCACTAGGCTTATGATATCTAAAGGCCACTCCAGAGTTCAATCCCCAACACTGCTTAAAAAAAGAAAGAAAGAAAGTGTAAGGGTTACTCCAATCTACAGTCTGTTTCCTCCTAAAACCAAAGACCATGGGTGAGACGGAATGAGTTCTTCAAACTACATGTGGATGAGAGTTTATTAAATAGGGAGTGGAAGGGATGTAGCGCAAATATTAGTATGCTACACCCAAACTAAACCGTATCTGGGATTTCTGAAAAAATCTTTTGGTTACAGCCACCACTTTCTCCCTCAACGACCCAGGGACCTGTCAGAGGAGAGGCGGAAATAAGTCTTTTGGCAGGGCTGGTGGTTGCTCCGAGTTTTGGAATGATCTCCGAGGAGCTTTCAAGACCCGGTCGTGGGATCAGGAGCGGGACTTCATAGCGGATGCAGCTAAACCCAACAAGATGGCTGCAACCGTGAAGCCCTGGGCGGCGATCCGGGTGCGCATCATGAGCTGCGAGCGCTGGCTGTGGCCTCGGTGGAAGCAGTAGAGGCCATAGGTGAGGGCGGCCGCCGTGCCGAGGCAGCCTGGGGAGGGGACAAGACAGTGGTGGAGCAACAGGTCGGGTCCTACAGTCCCTTCGGGAAGTGGCCGCCCATTCCCCAGGGCCAAGACCCCTTAGACACAGCAGGAGGAGAGCAGAGACTTTGGTAGAGGGGGTCCTCTGGTTCCAGACTCCGCTCTCTCCAGCTCCCCAATCCCGCTACTTCCGTTCTCATCAATTTCACTCTTTACCGCCCCGCCCCTCCGCCCGTTTCTGGTCCACCCTCATTCCGGTCCCCCTGTCCTCCTCTATTTCATCCCCCCCCGAAATCACTGCCTTTTCCGCCTACGGTTCCTAAGCACACACTTACCTATGGGTACCATTGGGTTCTCACGGGTCTTGCGAATAAACTTTTCCTTGAAGCCTTCCGGATTGCTGTATACGGTGGGAAGAAACCCCTCGATGACTGGGGGCTGCGATGGTTTAAAGGGTGCCTCCGGAGTCGCAGGGCCGGGAGCTGACATGTTCGGAGCAACAGCAGTGGAAACAGAACTCGGACGCTGAGCTCCACCTCCTGATGAGGTCACTACAGGGGCGGGGAAACGAACATGCCGAGCATAATACGTAGGCGCCCGCTGCATTCTGGGAGTCGTAGTAATCGGCGCATAAGCGCGACAGAAAAGACTACATTTCCCAAAAAGTCGTCATAGCTGTGCGCGCACCCGCCGGAAGGAGTCTGTTAACACGAGGTTGTAAACGTGGGAGCTGGGAGTGAGCTGTTGGTACTGTGGTTAGCGCGATGCCCAAGGCCAAGGGCAAGACTCGGAAGCAGAAGTTTGGGTACAATGTTAACCGAAAGCGTCTGAACCGGAATGCTCGACGGAAGGCAGCGCCGCGGATCGAGTGGTGAGGGGCCGGCGTTCGGGAGGCAGGGGTCCTCGGCCGGGACGGCCCGCAAGATGACAGAAGCTCAATCTCTCTCTCTTTGCCGGCAGCTCCCACATCCGACATGCCTGGGACCGCACCAAATCGGTGCGGCAGAACCTGGCGGAGATGGGGTTGGCCATGGACCCCAATAAAGCTGTTCCCTTTCGTAAGAGAAAGGTACTGACAAGGCAGGGTCTCCTTGCCACCTTCCTCCTCTGTCCACCTCCTCGCTCCCTTCCTCCTTCCTCCACCTAGCTGGGTTTCAGAACTTGGGCCTTCCTCACGGCTTCCCGGGTTTGCAGTCTCCCCACAGTCAACCCGCCCAGCCTGCACTTATTCTTTGGATTTGGGTTGGAGTTTCCCCTTTACTATTTTTCCTCGGAAATTAACCTGTTTGGGTCCTTTGGCATCTCAGTGGTATTTTCCATAACTTATGTTTTTCTGCCCTTGATCCCCCAGAGTTTGAGATCTTATTGTTTCCTACATCTTCCCCCAGTCATTGTTGGCCTGAGACTTCCTTTTCAATAAATCTTTTTTTTTTAACCCTTTCTCCCTTTTATTTTATCGTTTTTATATTTACTTATATATGTATATATTGTTTGTGTCACCCCCCCCCTAAAAAAAAAACAACACTTTTTCTGGATTGTCCTGTCAAGTTTTCAAAAATAGCACCCTGCTCCACCCACTATCCACTTCCCTGCTTTAACTCATAGCAATTGTAAGTACACGATGGTATATTACTTATTTGCTTATCTGTTTATTGTCTGCCTCTACCCATAATCTTCCTGGTGACCAACATCTCCCTGTGTTTGGTTCTCCCTGGACTGTGGGTCCCGTCCCCCGTCCCCCCCCCCGTGCTTAGGATGTGACAGGTACTCTTTAGTTAACTTAATGGGCTTGATTAATGAATTGGTCTCATTGCCTTTAAGGGACGTTTCTTTTTCTTTTTCTTTTTGTGCTACTTCGACTTAAACTCAGGGCTTACACCTTGAGCCACTCCACCAGCCTTTTTTGTGAAGGGTGTTTTGAGAAGGGCCTTGTGGAACTATTTGCATGAGCTGGCTTCAAACCTCGATCCTCCTGATCTCTGCCTCCTGAGTAACTAGGATTACAGGTGTGAGTCACCAGCACCAGGAGGGACGTTTCTTTTTATTTCTTCATGCCAGAGGAAAATGGCACCACTATTTCTTGAACAAATATGAAGCTATATAGCTAGGCACTAGAGAAGATTTTTGATTTCTTTCCCTCAGTGTAAATTATGAAGCACTGTCCTGTACATTGTTTCGCTCAGTTAGCACAGAAGGGAATGAGGAAGGTAAGGAGTGTTATATGCATTTTGTAGATAGGCACAGTAAAATGAATTGCTTGCTTGTTTCTTTTGGGAGCTGTGGATTGGTTCTCCTTGTTACCTCCTTGGGCAGGTACTCATGTGAATAATATAGTTCTTTTGGTTGGGATGAGCAGGATCCTTCCTTGTTCTTAACCAAACTTTCCCTGATCAAAGGTCCTTCCTTGCCTTCTGGTCTCACAGACTCTGTTCTCTGCAGGTGAAGCCTATGGAGGTGGACATGGAGGAGAGGCCCAAAGAGCTTGTGCGGAAGCCTTATGTGCTAAATGGTAGGTATGGGCTTCCTGTGGACCATTGTCCTGCCAGCCAGAGTTGGAAAGGGCCCTCACTATCACTTTCCAGCTGCAGAGATGAAAGTTCAGAGGGAAGCAGAGTGTTCAGAGTTAGGACTGAGCTCTTGGCTGAGATATTTTCAGGCTAGTACTGACTAAACTGAAGTATATAGACTGAGGTCAAAGATGTTAAGAGAAAATTATAGCCAGGTGCCTGAGAGGATATAAAAGAAGCCATTAAGTATTTGTTTGACCTCTTGGGAGTTTGAGGATGAACTGATTTATATAGATTCTAGCAACTCATTAAATCTTCAGTGGCAAATCAGTTGTGTATATTCAGATTAGAGACTGAACGTTAAAACAGGAGATTAACCGGGCGCCAACACTGAGATCAGGAGGATCTCAGGTTTCAGGCCAGCTTGGGAAATAGTTCGTGAGACCATTCCAAATAACCAGAGCAAATGGATTGGAGGTGTGGCTTTAGAGGTAGAGCACATGCTTTGCCAGTGCAGCGCCCTCAGTTCAAACTCTAGTCGCACCAAAACAAACAAACAGGAGAGTAAACCCTTAAGGAAAACTCTGAAAATCCACCCTTGCCTATTGCAGATTTAAGTTTTTTTTTTTGGAAGGTACTAGGTGCTTAACTTGGCCTCACACTTGCTAGGCAGGTGCTCTAACACTTGAGCCACTCTTTTTTGTGTGTGTTTGGTATTTCGAGATATAGAGTCTCACAAACTATTTGCCCTGGCTGGCTTTGAACCTCAGTTGTTTGATCAGCTAGGATTACAGGTGTGAGCCAACCAGTGCCAGGTTTAAAAGTTTTTTATTTTAATTTTTTTTTCTGTGGTACTGGGGGTTGAACTCAGGGCCTCACGCTTATGAGGCAGGTGCTCTACCACTTGAGCCATGCCCCATTTCTGTAAGGTGGTTATTTTTACTCCCTTCATATATGAGAAGTAGGGAATTTTTTGCTGTTTCTCTTTTGTTTTCTTTCAGAGCTGGAGATTGAACCCCAGATCTTGTGCATGCTAGGCGAGTGTATTCCACCATTGAGCTATGCTCTAGCTTGCCTGGCTTATTCATTTATTTATTTTAGCAGTCTGGAGTTTGAACTCAGGACCTCATGCTTGCTACGGTAGCACTCTTACCACTTGAGCCACTCTGCCAGCCCTGTTTTATGTTGGTTTTTTTGAGATAGGGTCTCGTGAACTATTTGCCCAGCTGGCTTTGAACCATGATCCTCCTGATCTCTGCCTCCTGAGTACTAGGATTATAGGAATGAACCAGGAACCCGGCCTGGCTATTTTATTTTTATTTTGCTTTGTTTCTTTGTCTGTGTGTTGAGGGTGAGGTGTGGTAACGGGGAACCATGCCTCAGGCCCAATGTTTTGGTTTTCTTGACAATGGTCTCACTATGTAGCCCAGTGTGGCCTTGAACTTTCAATCCTCCTACCTTAGCCTTCCAAGTGCTGGGGCTGCCTGGCTGTTTTCAGAGTGAAGCAGTATTGGCTCCAGGCTGGATTTTCCTGTCACATAGAGCAGTGTGGTGCTGGCTTTAGGCCCTGCAGCTCTAATTTTCATTTAGACCTTTCTATTTCATGTGTTAGCATAAGTAAACCAAGAAAAAGAGGTTTCTGATAGTGTTAGCTGAAAGGGAGCTGAAGGAAATATACGCACAGGAAGTTTACTTCATGTCTGTGTTCTCAGGACCTGGCACTAAATATTCATTAGTTTGGAGCCTACTTTTAAACAGTCTGAGGCCTGGAGAGAAGTTACTTGCTTTTCAGGAAACTGCCACACTTCTATATGCTGGGTCATAGGAGGCAGAGTCTGGGATTCTAGCAGCTGTAAGAGGAAGAGG